CATATATGCTCTGGAACGGTATTTTTCTACATAAATTCTCTGGGATTTCCAAAATTTATTCTGGGCTGTGGAGGAAATGAAGGCCTTGAAAGCAGAATTTGTGGTTAGGGAAGCGGTCGCTGTGACTTGAAGAGCAGTGGTTGTGGTTCTGGCTGTGGAGGTGAGATATGATCTGTTAAGACTATACTTTCAGGGATCATTTCTATAGTATCCAACTAGAGAAATGCACTCGAAAGTGATCAGCTGAGCAAACCACAAGGAGGAGGTGTAGTGTTCTCTCCTGAGCATGAAGCCGGCAGGCGGTGCTACTTCGTGTGGCTGCCATCTGCCTTTGATGACCGTTCCGCCTTCTCTTTATGGGGAGGCTGGAGGGAGAGAACGCAGTCTGAGTGGTTTGCTTCTTTCCACAACCCATTTTTTAATCATAGTGAAGTGAGAGAAAGTTTGTTTTTTATTTTCTTGGGTGCTTGAAGAATTGTGTGGTGTTTGTCATTCCTTTTTTAAAAAAAATAATACCTTGTTTTTATTTACTATATCTAGCACAGGAGTGTCCAAGAATTCTGCTTTTCAGCCATTTTCTGCCCATTTTTTGCCCCGTTTTGAGTATGTTTTTCAACCATTTTGGGCCCATTTTCGTCTGTTTTGGGCCCATTTTTCAATGTGTTTTTGACCCATTTTTCTGCTTTTTTGCCTGTTTTTCAGCCCATTTTTAGCCTGTTTTGGGCCCATTTTTCTACCCGTTTTGATCTGGTTTTTTGGCTTTTTGGCCTGTTTTTTGGTCATTTTTGGCCTATTTTCCTCCTTTGTTTTGAGCCCATTTTTGTCCTGTTTTGGGCCCGTTTTTCAACCCATTTTTGACCCTTTTTTGGCCGCTTTTTCACTGTTTTCAACCCATTTTTGGCCTGTTTTGGGCCCGTTTTTCAACCTATTTTGAGCCAGTTTATGACCCATTTTTTGGCTTTTTGGCCAAGTTTTTTGGCCATTTTCGGCCTGTTTTGGGCCCACTTTTTGGTTTGTTTTGGGCCCACTTTTTGGTTTGTTTTGGGGCCATTTTTCAACCCATTTTTACTTGCTTTTTTGGGTTTTTTTGGCTTGTTTTGGACCTGTTTTTCAGCCCATTTTTGACCCATTTTCCGGCTTCTTTTTGGCTTGTTTTGGGCTCATTTTTCAGCCCGGTTTCACACTGTGGCAGGAGGCCATGGTGGGTGAAAATGAGGCGTGGGGGGAGCGCACACATTTTATTCACCAGAGGCACCACAGGCTGTTCCTTTGATATTTCCAGGCCGACCCTGTGGGCCGGATTTAAGCACCCTGCAGGCTGTATGCAGCCTGCAGGCTTTGAGTTTGACACCCCTTATCTAGGAGCTGGTTTAGTCCAACAGAAAGGGCCCTGCCTTTTAATACTGGTAGTCCTTGACTATGACCACAATTGAGTCCAAAATTTCTGTAGCTAAGCAAGACAGTTAAGTGAGTTTTTTCCCCATTTAATGACCTTTCCTGCAGCAGTTTTTAAGGGAATCACTGCCGTTGTTAAGTTAGTAACCCTGTTGTTAAGTGAATCTGGCTTCCCCATCCATTTTGCTGGTCAGAAGGTCACAAAAGTTGATTATGTAAACCTGGGAAAGTGCAACCACCATAAATACAAGCCCCTTGCCAAGAATTTTGATCCTGTGACCATGGGGACGCTGCAATGGCCGTAAGGGTGAAAAACGGTCACAAGTCATATTGTTAAGTGCTGTTGTAATCCCCCCCCCCCACAAGTTTATTTTATTGCATATAAAACTTCCATTTCTAAGTAAACTGTTGTCTGGGTGCAAATCATTTTAAGAAATAATAACCATAATGTTTACAATAATATTCATTACATTAACATTGCAATAATAATAATAAAAAAATATAATAATAATAATAATATAATACAATATAATAAATAATCAGCTTGGGAAGTGTTCGACTAGTGATTTGTGACATGAAACGCAGCATAGTTATCTCGTTGGCTGTGTACACTGTCGTTTTTTGTGTATAATAGTAATAATCATAGCAGCATATCTATTTTAACAACCCTTCTTTATAGCAGTAGTTCTCCCCATATTTCCATGTTTCTAACTTCTGTTTTTGTTGCTAAACCACTGATAAAATGAATCCCATGTTAGAAAAATATTCAGTTTCTCCCTTTTCCTTGGTTTTAGGTTATATAATCCATCCATTTCTGCACGTTCTAATATTTTTTAAATCCAATTTTCATCTGTAGGGATCTCGTCACTTTCCCATTGTTGTGCAAATACAATTCTAGTGCTGTTGTAATTTCAAATGGTCCCTTAACAAAATGGTTGTAAGTTGAGGTCTACTTGTGGTATTTGTTAGCTGGAGAAAGTGCTACAAGATTCTTGATTATTATTTTTTTGCTGCAAGAAACCTGCGCAGACCTATGCATTAATTCATCAGGAGTCCGATTCCATAGGGTCGCTAGCTCCATTTTCGCAATCAAGGCAACATCACTCTTAAGATGTATAGACTTCAGTCCTCGCTGGCTGGGGAATTCTGGGAATTGAAGGCCACATGTCTTAAAGTTGTGGAGATTGACAAACTGTGGTAGATGGGCAGCTGTATATTAGCGAATGGTCGTGATGTGGAAGTAATATGGTGTCCTTAAAAAAAAAATCTCTGCACCTTTTTTGGAGTCTTATTGGACAACCAATTAAATATGAGCCAACGGTGTGCAGCGGCAGCGAAAAAAGCCAATGCAATCCTAAATTGCATTAACAGAGGGATACAATCAAGATCAAGTGAGGTACTAATACCACTCTATAAAGCCTTAGTAAGACCACGCCTAGAGTACTGCATCCAGTTTTGGTCACCACAGTATAAAAAAAGATGTTGAGACTCTAGAAAAAGTGCAGAGAGGAGCAACAAAGATTATTTTAGGGGTCTGAAACATATGAAGAATGGATGCAGGAACTGGGCATGGCTGGTCTAGAGAAGAGAAGGACCAGGGGAGACAGGATAGCAGTGCTCCAATATTTGAGGGGCTGCCACAGAGAGGAGGAAGGGGTCAAGCTATTTTCCAAAGCCCCCAACGACCCACACAAGGAATAATGGGTGGAAACTGAACATGGAGATAATTCAACTTGGAAATAAGGAGAAATTTTCTGACAGTAGAATAGTTCCCTTCAGAAGTTGTGGGAGTTTCATCACTAGAAGCTTTGACTGGACTGCCATCTGTTTGAAATGATGTAGGGTCTCCTGCTGGGCGGGGGGGTTGGACTAGATGACCTACAAGGTCCCTTCCAACTCTGTTATTCTGATTTGAAGAAGCCACAATTAGCACATTAAGCTACACACTATTTACAATCCATGATGTTGAAGATCAAATCCGGTGAGGGTTTTAAGCAGTTTAGGAATTAAAATGTAGTATGTTTGCAAAAACAGTTGGCTTTGCAATCATAAGATACACATCGATTTACTTATTAAATGTACAAACACAGCCCATCTCACTATCCAACAATTCTTACAATATAAAAGAAAATGATAGATTTTTTAAAAAAATAACACAACTTAGATCGAAATTGTACCACGTTCTTCCCTCTTTCCAGTGGTTGGAAGCGGTTTGCAGCCCTGGGTCACAAGTTAAGGAGCATTTATTCCAAAAAACACGTGAACATTTAGCAACTCAAACTGCAGTCAAATTTGAAAGAAATTATCTTGTCACCAGCAGCTCTTCGGCAGTGAAATAGTTAACGCAGCGCTAGTTTCAAGAGATTGACGCTTGCAGGACCCGCCTCTTCCGGTCCCTGTATCTTTAAGCCTTCCCAGTTTTTTAAAAAAAAAACTAAGTGAAGTGTGATTGGTTGTCCCATTCCCCGATGCAAATCGAAAACCAGGGGGCTTATGGGTTCCCTCGTTTGGCTTAAAATATACGCTCTGGAAAAAAACTATTTTCGTAAATAAATTAATCGCGATCGAAGTTCATTCCTGGCTGTGGAGGGAACGAAGACAGCGAATCCATATTTGTGGTTAGGGAGGCGGTCGCTATGACCTGAAGAGCGGTGTTTGAGGGTGAGGTCGTGGAAGCGGGTGAGAATCCGTTAAGACTATACTTTCAGGGATCATTTCTATAGTATCCAACTAGAGAAATGCACTCGAAAGTGATCGGCTGAGCAAACCACGAGGAGGAGGCGTAGTGTTCTCTCCTGAGCGCGAAGCCGGCAGGCGGTGCTACTTCGTGTGGCTGCCGCCTGCCTTTGATGACCGTTCCGCTTTCTCTTTACGGGGAGGCTGGAGGGAGAGGACGCAGTCTGAGTGGTTTGTTCTCCACCCCACCCATTTTTAATGAGTTAAATGATGGAGAGTCACTTAAACTCTATGTTGTAACTAATGGGTAATCTATTTACCTCGGTGATTCTTGTCTGAGTCTCTTGAGTAACTTTGGGCCAATCACCGGGACTTTGTACTGTAAGTTTTACTCCTGGTTTGTCTGTGTAATGAGCTGATTGGACCATCACCAGGAGATACAATACTTCTAGTCCCTCCTTCCCCATGAAAGCTGTTTGATGATTTTGAGCCAATCAGCAGCAGATTGGTTTTAAGGTCAGCTGGGTAACTGAGCCAATCACCAGGAGTCTGTGAGTTCTAATCCCTCCTAGACATGAAACGCAACTGGGTGACTTTGGGCCAATCACTAGGGAGACTGAGTTCTAATTCTGCCTTAGACATGAAAGACAGCTGGATAATTTTGGCCCAATCACTAGGAGACTGAGTTGTTAGTCCCTCCTTAGGCATGAAAGCCTATTGGGTTACTCGGGGGCCAGTTCCTCCTCCTCAGCCCAACCCACCTCACAGGGTTGTTGTGTTGGGTATATTCTTGAGTTATTTATAAACAATAATAAATTGCAGGATGGAAATAAATTCAGCCCAGCATGTTGTATTCACAGAATGCTGAGCTTCGAGTAGGGTTAGATTTGTGTTCTTTGTTGTTCTTGCAAAGTGTTCGGCTGTAATTTATTATTTTAATAATAAATTATAGCAAATTTATTATTTCTCCCTTGTGAAATGCCAATTCTGACCAACTACCGGTAAGCTATATTTCTAATTCCTAATTTTGGGCCTGGTTTCTTGATTGCTTTCCTCCTATTGTTTGGCTTAGTTCATTGGAAAGGATGCAGATTAGCTTATTTCCATTCCTGGGGGCTTCAATCTATTTGTTTTATTTATTAAATTATTCACCCTGTCACAGACACGCTCCAGAAGACAACTATCCAAGGTATCTTGGCTATTGTAGTTGACTTTTCAATTCCTTTTCTTTGTAACTCATAAGAGAGATCTCATCTCCAGGGTGGGTAGATGAGTCTGCCTACCGAGATGAAGTGGACCAACGGTTGCTTTCGTGGTGTGGAGACAATAACTTGGTCCTCAACACCAATAAGACCAAGGAGTTTATAGTGGATTATAGAAGGAACAGATCAGACCTCCAGCCCTGGCTTATCAATGGAGACCGAGTGGAGCAAGTGGCCAGTTTTAAGTTTCTGGGTGTTACCCTAAAAGAGGACCTGACCTGGGGTGCTCACATTGCAGCCCTGGTCAAAAGGGCCCAGCAGAGATTAGACTACCTGAGGCTTCTCAGAAAACAACAACTGGATGGAAAACTGCTGGTGACCTTCTACCGCTGCACCATAGAGAGCATTTTAACTTCCTGCACCTCTGTATGGTTTGCCATTTGCACCGAGGCAGATAGGATGGCACTCCAGAGGGTTAAATGTCATTGCCCAGAGGATCCTGGGTTGCCCTCTCCCCTCTTTGGGAGAGCTTTAGAGCTCCTGCTGCCTTAAGAAAGTTCAAAACATTCTCAAAGATCCATCTCACCCTGGGCACGCCCTTTTTTTTTTGAACTATTACCATCTGGCAGACAGTACAGGATAATAATAAAAAACAAGGACAAATAGGCTGAAAAACAGCTTCTATCCCAGGGCAGCAACTCTGTCGAATTCTACTGTGTATGGCAATATTAATGCAATATCAGGGGTTTTCCATTCTATGTGCAGAATGTGAAGGATGTGTGTTTGTGTTTATTTTCATAGCCATGATGTGCACTGAAGATGGTGTTTGATTTCATTGTACGAGGTGCAATGACAATGAACTAAACTAAAAACTAAACTAAACACTAAAGTAAAAGTGAAACTAAACTGAACTAAAAGCTAAATTAAACTAAAAACTAAACTAAACTAAAAACTAAATTAAGGACTAGAACTCACAGTCTCCTGATGATTGGCCCAAAGGCCCCTAGCTGGCTTCCATGCCTAAGACGGAACTGGAACTCACGGTCTTGGCTTTCTAGCTTGGTTCCTTAACCCCAGAGCTGGATCAAACTGGATCAGATGTATAAGAGGGTAAAAAAAAATACATCAGACGCATAATAAATCATGTTCCCATGAGCGCAGGATGGCCTTAGATGCTGAGCACTCCAAATGAAATTATGCGACCATGGGAGAGGGATGCTGGCTGGATCCTAAATACAAGTCTGGATCCTAAATACATTTTTTGTGGGATCTTTCAGAACTTTGGTCACTAAACAAGTTGCCGTAAGTCAGGGAATAACCTGTATACTTCCCTTGGTATTCCCATCCGGGAGAGACATGAATGGCTGGGTGGCTAGTGGGTTATGGAGAGACGAAGACCAAAGGTTTATTAGAAAATCTTGATGAAAGGGTACAGGTTTTCCTGCTTAATTGGGGTCGGACTAGAGGACCTTCAAGGTCCCTCCCAACTCTTTTATTTTTCTTTTATTTTTCTTATATGTACTCATTTCATGTATTCATAATTATGTATACACTTTTACTTATTATCTCGTAAACAATTGACAAATAAATAAAATAAAATAAATAAATAAAATAAATATTCTGCATTTCCCTAGCAAGACTCGGAGATGCCTGTCTCCCTTTGTAAAGAAGACGGGAAGCAGAACCTTTAATGAACAAATAAAATAAATAAGTCGAAGTTTTCCCTCTCCTCGTTCTGTAGGAATCTCCACCCAGTCGGTCAACTCCTTAGGACAAACTCCGCTCTTCACCGCCGCCTTGCTCGGACTGGGGAAACTGGTGGACATCCTCCTGGATTATGGGTCGGACCCAAACCAGTAAGTGCGAGGCATAAATGGGCGAGAAGCAGGATTCAGATCAAGTTCGGTTTATTTGATTTCTTTTTGAACAAAAAACTATTTGGCTGTTCTGAGGAAGGCGTGAGGAAAACCCCCTCTTTGCTCCTCCGTCGGGGCTCATGGGAACCAGAGGGGGGGGGCATCTCCAAAAGGAGAATTTGCAGTATCCCAAGGGGGGGGGGTGTTCAAAAAAGTCAAGGATGGGGGTGTCCCCGCTGCGGGATCGGAGCCCTGACAAGTCAGCAGGTGCTGCTGCGCTCATGGCCGCCCCCTCCAGATTTTCAAAAATTTATTATGTTTTGCTAAACATATTTATAAGGCTGCCCAACTCACACATGATTGGCTGTGTGTGGCTTACCACATTTAAAAATCTACCGCATAATAAAAAAAAACCCTACCCCGTTCTTGTTAACTTGTTAACTTCCTTCTGAAGATTCTTCCAGGTTTTGTTTTTTACTTTTATTTTTACTTCTACTACTATTACTTTTACTTCTACTACTATTTTTACTTTTACTTTTACTTCTACTTCTACTTCTATTATTTTTACTTTTACTTCTACTACTTTTACTTCTACTACTACTGTTATTTTTACTTTTACTTCTACTACTATTACTCTTACTTCTACTACTATTATTTTTACTTTTACTTTTACTTCTACTTTTACTTCTATTATTTTTACTTTTACTTTTACTTCTACTACTTTTACTTCTACTACTACTATTATTTTTACTTTTACTTCTACTACTATTACTTTTACTTCTACTATTATTTTTACTTTTACTTCTACTTCTACTACTTTTCTATTATTTTTACTTTTGCTTTTACTTCTACTACTATTACTACTGTTATTTTTACTTTTACTTCTACTACTATTTTACTTCTACTATTTTTATTTTTACTTTTATTTCTACTACTACTTTTACTTCTATTATTTTTACTTTTACTTCTACTACTTCTACTACTTCTACTTCTGCTACTTTTACTTCTATTATTTTTACTTTTACTTCTACTACTTTTACTTCTACTACTTTTACTTCTACTACTACCTCTATTTTTACTACTACTTTTATTTGTACTATTTCTATTTCAGTTACTTCTATTTCAACGTCTACTATTTCTACTTCTACTACTTCTACTTTTATTCACTTGTAAGTCGCAACTTACAAATAAAGACACTTTGCAACTGACTCATATTTATGACGGTTGCAGAATCCCGGGCTCACATGATCCCCTTTTGCAACCTCCCGTCAACTAAGGTCCAAAGGGACGCTGGAATCACTTTAAAACCATGTCTCTAGCTTAACAACTGCGGTGATTCACTTAACAACCGTGGCCAGAAAGGTCATAAAATACAGCATAAAAGTCACGTAACAGTGAGTCTTAGCAATGGAAATATTGGGGGTCGATGGTGGTCGTAAGTCGAGGGCTATCTCTAAAAGAATTCGCTTTAGAGAGTTAGAGGAAGTAGCGAAATCATGCGTGAAGCAGTGGTGGGATTCTACTGATTCATCCTGGCTCAGGCGAGCTGGAAGTAAAAAATGCTACTGTTCAGCTGAACCAGTAGTAAAAAAAAACAGCTACCGGTTGGGCCAAATTGGTATTTCTTTTTTTCCCCTCCCGACGATCAGCTGTTCTGATGATCAGCTGTTCCGGCATCCTCCTTGCTGTCTTACTGCTTTGCCCAGGAGGCAAAAAAAAAAGGAGCTGGGGGGGGTAAGCGGCTGCAGACACAAAAAAGCCACGCTCACCAGTCACATGGCACGCCCACCTAGCCACGCCCACGGTTGTAAAAATATTTGCATCCCACCCCTGGCATGAAGGTCATGGCTCTGTTGTTCTTTATATATGTATATATATATGTATATATGTATATATGTATGTATGTCAAGATAATAGGTATAAGTAAAAAACATAGTTATGAATACATGGATACATGTAAGAAAAATAAAAGAAACAATAGGACAGGGACGGTAGGCACGTTGGTGCACTTATGCACGCCACCTATAGGCCTCTTAGGAAAGGGGTGAGGTCAAGAGTAGACAGTCTAAGGTTAAAGTTTTGGGGGTTTGGGGAAGAAACCACAGAGTCAGGTAGAGTATTCCAGACATTGATCACTCTGTTGCTGAACTCGTATTTCCTGCAATCAAGTTTGGTGCGATTAACCTTGAGTTTGTATCTATTGTTTGCTCTTGTGTTGTTGTGGTTGAAGCTGAACTATTCATTGACAGGTAAGTCATTGCAATGTATGATTTTATATACCATATACTTAGATCGGACGGAAGGCGGCGTAGTTCTAGGTTTTCTAGGTCTAGAATGTCGTTTCAGTCGCTTCATTGTCGTTTCAGCCGCTGTTACGACGGGAGCACCCCTGTCCACGCAGCGGCCTTCTCAGGAAGCCAGGTCATCCTTAGCAGACTGCTGGACGCAGGCGGGGACCTGCGACTCCACGACAAGGATGGGAGGACGCCGCAAAGCTGGGCTGTGACCGCAGGGAAGGAAAGCAGCGCGCAGGTGTGTGGTGGCGGGCGTTTAGCCACGTTGCTCTCGGGAAGCTTGTGGGTGACGTTTTGTGGCACCTGGAAGGAAGTGAGCAAACACGGAGACCCAGTCGGGTATGGCGGTTAGAAAAAACCCTCCAATTAGTTAGAAACTGGGAGATGGATATTTGGGTAGCCTTGTTTTCCTCTTCCCTCCTCAGCCCTTTATTCCTTTCGTGTTATGCCATTTCGCTCCCCCGCCCCCATGCCATCCCTCTGCTAAACAACTAATTCCCTCAACATTATCAAACTATTTATAGTAAGGCGACATTAGTATTCTTCTTCTCATCCTTCTTATTTCCTATCTCCTTTTCTACTTAATGGCTATCACGTTGCTGCTTATATCTTTAGTTTATATTGTTTTATTTAGTTTCCTAGTATGACTTATGTTGATTGCTTACTTAATATCCCATGACTATCACTAAGTGTTGTATCTTACTATTTATGGTTAATGTATTTTTATGAGGACTATGATTATGATTTATCACTTACAGCTTTTATGCACACTGAGAGCTTATGCACTGAAGACAAATTCCTTGTGTGTCCTATCACACTTGGCCAATAAAGAATTCTATATTCTATTCTATTCTATTCTATTCTATTCTATTCTATTCTATTCCTTTCTTATTCTGTTCTATTCTATTCTATTCTATTCCATTCCATTCCATTCCATTCCATTCCATTCCATCCATTCTCCCTAATTACCTGTTTAAAGACCATTCGCTATATTATTTATGTTGTATTGCATTTTTGTTATGGATAGCATCAGCAGGAGCAAAAATCAATTTCGTTGTATATATGTACAATGTCAATAAAGGTTGTTATTATTCTTTTTTTATAAGTTTTCATTCATAAACATTTTTGAATAACAGTGCATTGAAAGAGCATTATTTAAAAAAAAAACATGACCAACATATGTTTGTAATAAATCTCAACATACAAACCAATAGCAATAGTAAAGGTATAATAATACTAATAATATAACCAAAAATGTTCTATTCTTAATTGCTATTCTATTCTATTCTATTCTATTCTATT